TATGACTCAAAAAAGTTTTGGTCCAATACTTTTTTGAGCAACTGTATTTGCCAAACTTATCCGACTTCCGTTTAAATGTAGGTGTTGAAAGAGTTTTCTCAAAATGGTTTCCTTCAGATGTGATTCAATCATTCTGTAGCCCGTTTTGGACCGAAGAAAAGAAATGGTGGTTTGTTGCTGATTGTCCTTATAATAATTCGGATACTATTGAACTTTATAGTCTATCTCCACCAAGCCATGACAAAGTCATATTTTGTCCAGCAGCTTTTTGGGCTTCAAATTCAGTAAATCCTAATTTTAAAAGCGTGAGAACGCTCGGATTACAAACTTCAACTGATCAGATGTGATTCATAGGAGGCAAAAGCCGTTATTTCTCGAATGCTACAACGATTCGACCACCACCAACTCCAAGTGGTTGGTCTTGTTGGAACAACAAGTCCACGCTTTCAAATTACATTAACTTAACAGTAGTTAAAAAATTCATCATCGAAGATGAATCTCTTGCTGAAGCTCTACCACTAATGGCGAGCCTTACAACCCTTAAATTCAGACATTTTTGGAAGACTCTTGAATACTTCAAGAAGATTTCTTCTCCGATACATCAACTTAAAAATCTAATTCTCGCAACATCCTGGACTGCAAATTATTGCTTGAATCAATCTGAATTAAGTAGAGACCACTATTTATTTCCTAATCTCGAATATCTTGAATTAGCAATTAGTCAACTCGATGATTTAACTATTCTCATCAATGAATTAATCCGTTTAACTTATATGAACATTCATTTTGCATGTGGATCAACTAGCGAACAACAAATACAATAGTGGATGCAGAAACATGATGCGATGGACAAACTCAGATGGTCACTAGAAAAAGATCGTCTCGGTGTATGGTTATATTAGTTACATTCATAAAACAAATTTTCATTATCACATTGTAACATCACATCACAAAAAAGAATATTTGACTATAGAGCAATGTCGGTGTTCATTTGAAAATGTTGCATTAGTTCTCCAAATCTATCTTCTTTTTAGAACTCAAGCTGATTATTGAATTTAATAAGAATTTCTTATATTTTGTCTCATCTTATGTAATTAACTATTCTTTGAATGAGGACATCAAGATGATATGCATACTTTGATATTCTTCATAGATAAAAGCAATATTTAAAGAATGATGCATGCATGAAAAAGTTTTATTTATCGATTGAGATGTGGGTATAGGTGAACGCGAGGTGTCATCTTCTATTAACAGCCACACAGTCAGCCAGAGCCAGACTCACGCATACACCTACACCCAAAGTCCATCCTTCATATGCACCGAAAAAGTCGAGTTGATGATAAAGAGTATAAATGAAGCGACATTGATAACAAACAATATTATCTACGGACTTTTTCCATTGATAGTCAGTCAACTTGCTAGTATTGCGTAATTCAAGTGTTTGCGTATAAATAGCTTAGCGTAATAGACGTGTTTTATTCATACCTTCAAATTGTGAGGGTGGGTGTGGGTGTGTCAAGCATGTCATGATCCAGATTTCTACCTTGCTTAAAGGACTCATCAGATGGCTTGTACTCTGTCGTATTTGTTCAAAATGATTTGGAAAAATCATAAACAAAATACTTGAAATCTGTACTGACTTTGAACAAAATAGTTCAAACCGATAGATATCTTTATATGAGAGTAGTGGGTGTGGGTGTGAAGAAGCTGCCATGACCGGTTTTGTCCTTGCTTAAGGGACTCATCAGATGGCTTATCTATTCTGAATTTTCAAGAAGAAAATCCAAATGAGTGGGTGTGGGTGTGGGGTGTGAGTGAGAAACTTTTCATTCCCACACCCACACTCAAACTTAGCCCCAGACCCACACCCATCCACACCTACACTCCGTATGCCAAAAACGTAAAAGAAGAATTAAAAGAAAAGTATTAGTTATATGTTAAGACGTAGCGCTTTAATTAAACCATGGCTACTTACTGAACTTTGAACTTCTAAAACGTTATGCCAATTATGGTTGAGAACACTGAAATTGCGATCAAGTTAATGTAGAAAAAAGTTGATAAATTTTTACTTGAATGGATCTCATTTATTTTGTCATTATGCATCTGCTGACTTATTTGAACGCGTTTCATATAGATCAAATTACAGGTTGTCCTTTTTCTAGCAACTTTTTTTCTGATATGATGAAACCAATTGTATTTATTTTACAAAAACTTTCCCAGAAATTTTAAGTTACAACGCAACATAAAGCAAATTCAGATGAATAATTGAAATGTGATGATTCTTGTTATTCTTGATTTCGACTAATAACAGGCCGCTTTACAATATTTGAATTTTAATACCTTCGATGCAATGGAACCGACCATATTTTAACAAGAAACTTAATATTCAAACACTTTCTTTTCCTTTTCTCTTGGGCAGGAGGTTACACAGGTAATATGTCATCTGCTCTGTGTAGCTTTTGTTTGAAGTATTTATTCGAATAGCATGATGCTTCTAGCTAACAGAATCAAAGCAAAAAAAAGAGTTCCCATGTAAATATTTTTTGCCTCAAAACGCGTCTGAAACGCGTTTCATTTGCGTGCGAAACGCTAAGAGTGAACGCGTTTGAACGCGTCCCCAGTGAAACAAACGAAGCGTTTAAACGCGATTTATTTTAGAAACGCGTGTGAATGCGCTTCTAGCTTGACTTGCGTTCAAACGCATTTTTAGCGAAAACGCGTCCCAGATGAAACATTTAATGCGTCTGGACGCGTTTCATAAAAAAACTAAAAATTTTGAAAAAAAATATGATAATCCATTTCAGATTCGAACTGAGTTGCCACCATCAATATTTTTTGATGGTCTTAGCCTTCCCTGGCAAATAGATTAGATTTTACCTTAAGTGACGACGATCAGATTTGAACAGATGAACCAGTGATTAGAAGTCGTTCATACATACCGCTGAGTTATACTAACTCGAAATCTTGTCTTATTCAAAATAAAATATATTTGAAGACGAATTTCATCGGTTAAATACTTTATTTTAACAAGATGTATTTTTTTCGAATTCAAGAGTCTTAACAAGTAAGATGACTTTTTAATTATTTTTTTAAATAAGTTTTTTATTTTTTTAATAAAATAACATCTTTTTTTTATCATCTACTACACAAAAAATATTACGATCTTTTTTATTGCACTGGTAATATGATAAATAATTTTATCGAAAAATTTAATGAATAGATAATTATTGACAATCAATTTAGTAGAAATATATGATGAAAAGTTACTAATAATATTATTTAAATAGTAGTATTTAACAATATTCTGAAAGGGCGTTGCATAGCTGGAAACTATTACAATATTATCTGACTATTTTTCTTACAAACTTTAGAGAAATATGGACTGTTCACCGTATCTTTAATTGAATTTTGTCTATTTTAACGTCGTCTCACCATTCTTTATTAGAAGTCTAATGAAGTTTAGATGAATAAAATACATGTAAGCTGATGATTTTGATTATGCAGTCAACTCTTCTAGAGCAGCAATTTTTGGGTAAAATCGCGTCCGATACACAAAAAATAAACACTTTCAAAGGCACTCGAAAATATGATTGCGTCCTAACGCGAGCGAAAAACATATTTAAGACACGTTTGAACGCAGTTCGTAAACAAAATTTTTTTAAACGCATTAAATTTTTTTCAGAAACGTGTCGAAACGCGATTCATTTTTTTCTGATTGCGTTTAAACGCCTTGTATAGAAAACCTGCGTCCAGACGCGTTTCAAAATTTTTTCTAACTGCGTCTCAACGCTTCTCATATTACACCACGTTTGAACGCGTTCAGTCAAACTCTTATTAAACACGTACAAACGCAATTTCAATATGAAACGCGTTGAGATGCGGTTCATAGTTTTTTTACAATTGCGTTTCAACACGTTGCATACAAAAACTGCGTTCAGACGCGTTTCAAAAGTTTTCTAACTGCGTCTCAACGCGTTTCATATTAAAAATGCATTTGAATGCGTTGTGAAACCGCTTTTAACTGCGTCTAGACGCGTTTTGTTGTGAAACCGCGTTTCAACGCATCGATCTTGCGTTTCGTGATTACATGGGTTGTTGTAATCAGAACAGAAGCTTTCTATTTTCTTGGCTGTAACATCACTAGCTTCACTTCGTTGCTGTTTCTTGCTTTTTTTTATAGCGACTAACATCGCATCTTCGGAAGATGCGTGCAAGTTCTCCTTTTTTTCGAGCTTGTGATCAACGAAATCGAAATTTTGTTTCGTTATATTGTTCCAACTGCGCACTACATAGAAGAAAGACGAATAAACTTGAATAATTATTCAGTTCGACATGAAAAGGATCTACCTGTGTGATGATACAAACGAGAAAAAGAAAACAATTGGCAACGTATGCTGAGAAGATCAACAAGTATATCTATCTTCCGTTGAACACACATAAAAATGAATTTTCCAAAGCTTTTTCCTAAGAAAAATCGAATCGCGTCGAATGTATTAAAAATAAAGGCAATCATAATGTTAAGGTAAAGTACGATATGCAGCCGATAATTCCGAGCATTGAATATGAACTGATTTTATTTTATTTGTTTTCTTATTCAAAGTTACGTTTGGGTGTTCTAGAATAATACATCAACAGTCACACTCACATCCTATATAAGATATCATTATTTACGGCGAAGGAGGACTCATAGTGTTTTATCTACTAGTCTAGTTCGACGTCTGTTGTGTGCCATTTATCTGAAAGAGTGGTTATATCGCTCGATTGTATGATTTGTCTCAAATTAGTGATGAATTCTTCGATATTTTTTCCGAAGTTGTCATATTCTTCAGCCACCCAATATGCCGCCCCTGGTAGCCACGTGAACGAACCACGTTGATATGTTTTCTGTTTAATTTTTTTTGGCTCTCCTGAATCGGAACATGAAACGTCAACTAAAATTTTCATCTTATTTTCAACATATTTCGCTATATGACGAATTTGCTGTTGCTGTCGTAATTTTTTGTTCTGCAAAAAATCTTTCTCCTTCTCCAAGTTATCTTTGGTCTGTGTCAGCTTTTCTATTTCATTATCCAGTTTATTTTTGACGATTTCAAGCTGTTGTTGTTTTATCTTTGTCTGTCGAATAGCGATGAGTAATGCATCTTTTTCTTCGCACAATTCTGTATAGGTTTTTTCTAGAGCGCTCTTTTGTTTGGTAAGATCTTCACTTTTCAGTCGAAGATGCTCATTATCGCTGTTGAGAGATTGAGTTACTTTGATAAGTTCCTGCAGTTGCTTTTGATTGTTTTGGGAAACCTTATCCATTGTTTGGTTCAATTCTTTGATGTTAAGTGCGGCTTTGCTTAGTGATTCGTTGAGCGATGAAATTTGATTATCATATTCTTTCTTTTGTTCATTCATGATATTTCGATGGTTTTGTTTCAGAGATTTGATTTCCATTTTTAAATTTTCATTTTCTTCTCGTAGCATTTTTACATGTCCGCAGATAACAATGGGATCAAGTAGTTGATGAAGTTGTTGAGCACTTTCGAAAGTTTGAGCAATGACACGCTTAACTTCGTCCAGATTTTGATAGTGCAGAAATTTAGTCTTAACTATTTTGCACATTGTTTCTTCATCATCAACCTCGACTTCCTGGGTGTACGCGTAGATTCGAACACGTGGTACGAAGTTAAGAAATCCATCACGATAAATAAATAGCACAGGAATGTCCAGATTGGAACAGTAATCTTTGATTCGAGGTAAATCACCAAGAGCACTTTCACGAGGATTAATGCCACTAAGTAAAAATATAACACCATGTACTTCAGAACGTCCATGAAGT